CTCAGCCTCCTGAGTAGCTGGGATTACAGGCACGCGCCACCATGCCCAGCTGATTTTTTGTAGTTTTAGTAGAGACGGGGTTTCACCATGTTGACCAGGATGGCCTCGATCTCTTGACCTCGTGATCCACCCGCCTCGGCCTCCCAAAGTGTTGGGATTACAGGCGTGAGCCACCGCGCCCGGCCCTTGAAATTCTTTTCTAAGAGAGGCTTGTCACCATTCTCTTCATTAAACCACATATTTACATATTGGTATAGGGACATAAATATTTTACATTTTGGTAATTCAATACCATGTTATTTTTTTCCTCAAACTATTCCAGCTTTGACCACTGGGAGCTCTTTCATGCTAGCTCTTGTGTCCCTCTACCCCATCATTATGGGCTTCTTTAAGCACCCCCTTACTTTAAGGCACACTTATGTTCAGGCTCATTTCTGTATATTTGGTTTCATCCTAGAAGCAGCCCTTTCTCTAGGAATAACTGGTTCCTTTAATTGGAGAATGGCATTAAAAGCAAAATCTGGATGTGGGGCATATCCCTTTCTATTCTACTCCTGTTCAGCAGAGCTAGAAAAAATGTTTAATTATGCTAACACATGTATGTACCCACACCTATCTATAATTATTTCTGTACCTATCCATTTGTATCTCCATTTAGCTAAACACAAGTTCACACCAATCTTTGATTCTAATCCACTACCATATGGTTTGTTCCTGCAATCCCACTTATCCTTAACTTTTCTTCTCCTTCTAGAGTAAGAAACTGAGCTCCCACCACTTGCATCCATTTACTCGTTATGTCAATCCCCGTACACACGTACAGCAGTTTTAGAATTAACCCGTACCCCTGTGAAATACACCTGGCTTAGCATGCTGGCATAGCTATAACATCATTTCATATCTATCTATACTGTTTATCTCTTAATTTTTATGCCCTCAATTAGAATGTGGCCATAATTCTTTTTTTTTTTCACTCCCCAAACAAAGCTACCAGATGACTGTCCTAGAAAACTGTGAAAACAACTCCTAAAGATAGTAAAGAAGGCTGAATGCAGTGGCTCTCGCCTGTAATCCCAGAACTCTGGGAGGCCAAGGCAGGTTAATTGCTTGAGTTCAGGAGTTTGAGACCAGCTTGGGAAAGAGGGTGACACATTGTCTCTGCAAAAGATACAAAAATTCCTTCCGCCACGGTCACCATTGGAGAGTAGCAGCCATGGCTCTTCGGTATCCTTTTGCCGTGGACCTCAACAAGGGCCACAAGGTAACCAAGAACGTGAACAAGCCCAGGCACAGCTGCCATCGTGGGCGTCTGATCAAACACACCAAGTCCGTGCGGGACATGATCCGGGAGGTGTGTGGCTTTGCCCCGTACAAGCGGCGCGCCATGGAGTTACTGAATAAAAAACAGCTGCAACGCCCCCCAGCCCCCCGCAAAAAAAAGATAAAAAAATTAGCCAGGTTCGGTGATCCCAGCTACGTAGGAGGCTGAGATGAGAGGACTAGTTGAGCCTGGGAAACAGAGATTGCAGTGAGCCAAGATTGCACCACTGCACTCTAGCCTGGGTGACACAGAGTAAGACCCTGTCTCAGAAAAACAAAAAGATACCAAAGAACTCTCATGTACCAGAATACATAACCTTGATATACTTCCCTAAATCTTAATTTAAAATCTAGTTGCTCAGGCTCTAAGAAACATTCTTAATTTGATCCTGGCTAGTCTTTCCTATAATTACCTATATACCACAGTGATTTCCCTTTGACCATACATTATAATTTTTATAAGTTTGGCTATAAGAATGGTCTTTTCGGAAACTTACTGGATACACACACTACTCAAATAGCAAATGAAACCTGGTCTCACTTCTCAGACTGTATAAAATCAGACAAATTCCTCAAAAATGCTAATACATTTGCCACTGTAATTTGGTCTGTATTTTAAATATCCTTTAACTCCAATCTCCACGATTAAGAAAATCCAAACCCTACTGCACAGATGTTCCTATCCCACCCCAACAATATTACCTTGAACTGGGTAAGTCCTCCCATAAACTTCTATGATGGGGCAATTGAAGAAATATTCACAGAACATGCTGGTATCAATAGTAGCGGACATAAGAACGATGCGAACCTCAGGATAAGCCTGAACCACATCACGCAGTACTACCAAAAGGAAGTCAGTCTATTAAAACACAAACACAAAAATTTTTAAATTACATTAAGTTTATACGACAAGTTATGCCTGAAAGAGTTATACATCCTCAAGACATCAGTTTAATTCAGTTTCTTACATGGCTCACAGAAGTGCAAGAAAAAGGACCACAGTGATATACAATAATAATTTTTAAGAACACTTGTAGCCTAATAGTTGTGGAGATTAGAAATGAGTGCTAATTAGGTAGGGGGAAAGGAGGGAGAAAAAAAAAATCACCAATGAGAGCAAAGATTTCATCTCAAAATGTTCAATGAAATTTAAATTTGCAGAAGCATAACTTCAGCAAAAATGGAAAACCCAGAAGTTAAAATTCAGCTATCCGATCATCCAATCAGCTGTAAAGCTAAAACAGTGAAAAGGTCATATTTGGTTCAAACAAAAGAATGAAACATAAATCATTTATCACCCTAACAACATGAAAGCTAAAACTGATAAAACTTTTATCTGGCTATATGGTTCTCTCTACCCCTTTCTACCTTCGCCAACTACCACCATCCTGATTCTTATGTTTATTATTCCTGTACAGTCTCATCTATATGAATATCCAAAAATACACAAATAAGTATATGTATTTTAGAGACGGGGGTCTCTGCTGCCAAGGCTGGAGTGCAGTGGCTATTCCTAAACGTGATCATAGCACAAAGCAGCCTCGAACTCCTGGGCTCAAGTGATTCACCTCAGCCTCCTGAGTAGCTGGGACTATAGGCGCAGACCAATGCACCAACTATATACATATATTTTTTATCTTTTAGATACAGTCTCACTGTCACACATGCTGGAGCGCAGTCGTGTAAAATCTTGGCTTACTGCAACCTCCATCTCCAGAGTTCAAGCAGTTCTCACGCCTCAAGCTCCTGAGGAGCTGGCATAATGGACGCTCGCCACCGTGCCCTGCTAGTTTTGTATTTTTAGTAGAGACGGGGTTTCACCATGCTGGCCAAGCTGGTCTCAAACTCCTGGCCTCAAGTGATCTACCCACCTCAGCTGACTATATTTTTAAATTTTACTTAATTTATGGAAATGTGTATTTTATGTTTTCTTTGTATTTCCATTTTTACATACAACAGCACTGCTAAGATTCATCCACAGATTACTGTACTTATCCTTTCTGATGACTGTTTACTGTCCCAGTATCAAGTTAATTCACTTTCTTTTGCACATATCTGGCTTGTTTTCAGGATTTACTACTGTGAACATTTGCTACCATGAGCATTCTTGTTCAAGTCTAAACGGGAGTGCTAAACATATCCAAGTTTCTGTAGGTTAAGTGTGGGTATGGAATTGTCAAGCTATAGGGTATGCAATTGCTGAACTTCAGGAGATAATGCTAAATGATTTTCCTAAGTATTTCCATTTATGTATTGCCATGAGCAGTGGAGAGATCCTGCTGATCTACATATTCTCCAACACTTTAGAGTGCCTTTTTTTTTGAGACTGAGTTTTGCTCTGTCACCCAGCCTAGGGTGCAGTGGTGCAATCTTGGCTAACTGCAATCTCTGCCTGCTGGGTTCCAGCAATTCTCCTGCCTCAGCCTCCAGAGTAGCTAGGACTACAGGCATGCGCCACCAAGCCGGGCTAACTGTGTGTATTGTTTTTTTTTTTTTTTTAAAGCAGAGATGGAGTTTCACCATGCTGGTGGGGCTGGTCTGCCCGCCTCAACCTCCCAAAGTGCTGGGATTATAGGCGTGAGCCACCATGCCCAGCCAAGTGCTCCTTTTTAATTAAATAAATGGATATAAACCAGTGTCTTGCTGTGGTCTAGATCTATACTTTCCTGTTAGTTCCAATGAGATTGAACAGTATCTCCATGTTTATTAACGAAGTATTTCCTCTTCTATAAAAATGCCTATATTTTTCCTCATTCTTCTTCTAAGTTGTTTAAAGTTCTCTGATTTGTAGAAGTTGCTTATATATTGCTATCCTAACATAGTGGAATCTTCCAGCTTGTAGTTTTCCTGCAAGTATCTTTTGAATAAACAAATGAACGTAATATAGAATATACTGGATCTTTTATTTCAAGATTAGTGCATTTCATGTTTTCAGAAATCCTTTCTGAAGAAAAGCATGTCGTAAACATTTTAGATATTCTGGATTAAATATGTTTAATTTCACCTTTTTAAATGTGTTATCAGAGAAATTTAAATTATCTATATGGCTTACACATATAGATAATTTAAATTTTGGACAGCACTGTCTAGATGCTTATTTATATCTTCTACTTCAGTGTTTGAAAAACTCATGTGTCAACACATTTAAACTTCTCCATCTATATGGAGTTGATTTTTGTATTTAGTTATGAGGTAGGGAACTGATTTCAACTACTCTGAAATAACCATTTGTTTCCAGTTCTATTCATAGCTCATTCCTTTTCACTGATCTGACATCCCACCACTGTCTCATAACAATGTTGCATGTAACATACAATATACAATCCACTTCTGTACCCTGTCTTATTCCACCTGTCAACTCACATACTCAGTCTCGATTATTTTAGCTTCAAAACAAGGCTTGTTTTCTGTAAGGGAAAATTCTCCATTCTGCTCTTCTGCAAAAGTACTAGTTATTTGGGGACATAAAGCTATCTTAATAAGTATTTACAGTCATCTCATCAAATTATACGGAAGATCTTGCTGGGGTTTTAATTAGAATTGCATTCAAACTGTGGATCACCTTGAGAACAATTGATATGATATTAAATCCTTCTATACAGGAACATAGTCTATACCGTTTCAGCGTTTTGTAATAGAACTTATCTTTCTTGTAGAGATCTTACATGTTTTTTTGTTCCTAGGTACTGAATACTTTTGACTAGTATAATGGTATCTTTTTTTCTCAGTTTTTTTCTAGCTGTTTGTATAAGAATATAAAGAATGCAGAAAAAAAAAAAGAAAAAAATCTAAAGAATGCAACTGACTTTGGTATATTTATATTAACCTTTCATCCAGACATACTGTTAAATTCTTCTATTATTTATAATAATTGGACTATAACTGCTCTTGGGTTTTCCATGTAAGATGACAAAACTAGGTGAGATTTATCTTTAAAGAGAACATGAAAAGTTTCTGCAGGCCAGGCACCGTGGCTCATGCCTATAATCCCAGCACTTTGGGAGGCCGAGGTGGGCGGGTCACCTGAGGTCAGGAGTTTGAGACCAGCCTGGCCAACACAGCGAAACGCAGTCTGTACTAAAAATACAAAAAATTAGCCGGGTGTGATGGCACCTGCCTGTAATCTCAGCTACTGGGGAGGCTGAGGCAGGACAATGGCTTGAACTTGGGGGCGGAGGTTGCAGTGAGCAGAAGTTGCGCCACTTCACTCCAGCCTGGGCAGAAGAGTAAAACTCTGAATTTAAAAAGAAAAAAAAAGAGCAAAGATTCTGCAAAGGTTTTTTCCTCGTTTTTCACTGTGAATGGTATACAAACTTACGTCTTAAGCTGCTTAAGCTGACCAAAACCACTTACTGTTTTAGGAAAAAGACCAATGATAATGTAGTTTGGAATAATTTAACTTCTAAGAACATTGCTAAGTTAACAAGCAAGTAAAGATAATATTGAAGCATTTGTTAATTAAGAAAAAACTGTTTCCAAGAGATTATGAAGGACAAAAGAGCAAAAATTTTGTCCTACTGAAAACTTACATGATTTATAGCCATGATAAACAATCCAAACCAGTCTCATTTGCTTTAGCTTAGTTTTGCCAAAACTCAAGATTAACAAAAAACAGATATAAAAGTGATTTCTAAAGAGGAGAAACTCTGAGGCCAGGCACAGTGTCTCATGTCTGTAATCCCAGCATTTTGGGAGGCTTAGATGGTTGGATCACCTGAGGTTAGGAGTTTGAGACCAGCCTGGCCAACATGGTGAAACCCTGTCTCTATCAGTTGGGTGTGGTAGCGGGTGCCTGTAGTCTCAGCTACTTAGGAGGCTGAGGCAGAAGAATTGCTTGAACCCAGCAGGCGGAGGTCACAGTGAGCCGAGATCACACCACTGTACTCCAGCCTGGGTGATAAAGCGAAACTCGATCTCAAAACAAAAACAAAAACCCATTATAAAATCTATCATAAACTTCTAATTCAAAGAAAAACAAGTCATAAAAATTCCATCAACTATTTAGTCATAAATCGTTCAACTGCTGAATTATTCTAGCTATTAGTGATGACTGCAGTTATCTTTACAACATAAAAGGTCTTCATTTTCAAAATGCTTTCTGTAAGTTAAACAATAAGATTATTTAATCTTGCTAAAAAAAAGATTTCAACATCTTAGTGATTGAAGTTCATGATTTTGATTATGAAAGCAGGAGGGAAAGGGAAAACAAAGACATTCTACATGATTTCTCTTAACTTAGAAACAGTAGCATTAGTACCTTACTGTACTTTCCAGTTACTTACATTAATATCTCTTTCATGTATTTCATCTACAATTACATGACTGATTCCTCGAATGCCTGCTTCTAATTTTCTTAGGAGCACACCTTGAAAAGAAAAACAATCAACAAACTATTGAAGAGTTCAAAGAAGCAAATCTCTGGACAATTATCTATATTTCAACTAAGATACCCCAGAACATCATTTTAGGAAACAATCACATATACATTTGTGATAGTGTATGATGAGCTATCTTCCCCACCCCCCACCTGATTTTATGATTTCATTTTCTCAAGCTACAACATCTAATGGGTATATCATATGCTCCATGAAGGAAAAATCTACCAAAAGTTTTATTTAAACAAGAAATCTGAGACTGGTTCATTACTTCTTTCCAGCCATTCTGTTCTGCTACCAAATTTTCTTCATAAACCCCAAATAAAAGATCAAAGTACATTACTGACCTACAGTACAAAACATTATACTGGCATGAGGACGAGGAAGTATAGACTCAAATCGAACACTGTAGCCACAGCTTTTTCCAGGCTCTTCTCCTCTCTCAAATGCAACTCGCTCTGCCACAGAAACCGCACTGATTCTTCTGGGCTGAGAGAGAAAAAAATAAAAGTGACTTTACAACTACAAAATTAGATACACTTGTTTATTAGGGTTTTTGGAATATCATACTAAATCTGTCCTACTGCCAGCTGAATAATTAACAATAAATAAATAAATAAACATACAAAAATACTATTTGTTTCTACAGCATACATTTTAAAAAATGTTTTCATTTTGTATATAAAATGATTCTACAACTTGTCATTGCCCCCGACTATTAAATAGTATACAAAGGTGATTTACCAGTAGGGAACGGGGCACAGCATACGCACGGGTTTGTTTTTTTTAACTGACTGCCACACTAAAAACACACCTTTAGGAAATTATTTAATTGAGACATATGGGAATCAGGAGGGTGAACAATTAATTGCCTTCTTTGCCGTAAGTACTGTGACCACCTTTTGCTCACTTGTTAACTCAGTAATCAAACATTCACTGCACTTTTGCATCAGGACTCAGAGAAGGTGCTAGAGATAGGTAGGAAACGAAAATCATTGTTTTCGATAAGCTCACAACAGCAGGTAACATTGAGTGTGTATTGCTATTTCCAACAATAAATCTGCAAAACTCTAACGGGAATGCTATAGGCTAATGTTGGACCTTTTTATGAAAACTCTTCTGAAGTGTTTCTGTGTCTTCTAAGTACACAGAACAGCCTTTACTTGGTGGATATTATGGCTATTAGGACATGCCTAATGTATAGCTAAAGAGGTACAGGTATTGATCGACTTACGACCTATGCAACTCACGACCATTCGACTTTACGACCACAGTCGCTAGCCACGACTGCTCCGCGTCTGGCAGCGCAAACATTGCCCACCCGGGCGGACGACAGTGCGGACCAGCTTCCGGCAGCACTACCATCTCTGCGTGCATATAGCCTACTCAACTTACGACCAAATCGTGTTACGACGAGTCTGTCAGAACCAATCGTGGTCCTAAGTCAAGCACTAGCTGTACATCAAGATTTATGTGCTGCATGCTTTTTAAGTTGCCACGGATTTGACTCTAAAAGTTCCTGATGACAGGCTGTATTTCAGCTCCTTGCTTAAGAAAACATTTTCTGAGTTTAGATTTACTTTAAGTACCTATTTGATATCGCGTATTAGAAATACGACTAGGAAACCAGAGGATGACATAAGATTTAATATAAAACATGGTTTTAATTTCTATTCCTCTAATACAAGAGTTAATTAGGGTATGAGGCTATATACTATCACCTAGCTCATATTTATCTTGACAATAAAGATAAAAGAGACTAAAAGCTGCCTTGCTGAACACACTGTACAAAATTTTGCTAGTTTTTACTGATCACTATATCTCCTTTATACTAAACAATCTTTTCAATAATCTTACTTAGCAATGGATAAGGATTTTTCTAGCTTTGTCACCATTTTCTTAAATTTCTCTGTAATTTCAGCTTTTAAGTAGAATTTCACAGAAATTAAGTTCTGAAGGTTCAACTACTGTAAATCAGATTAGCTGTTTAAGTATCAACACATCATACACACACACCCACCCGTTCATCCAGAGATTTAATTAGTGAGAACAAAATGAGGTACAGACAGTACTCTGCACCTCAGTTACCCTGAAAAATAGTGTTACATGAAAGTATGAGCTCTGTATCTGTCCATCAAAAGAGTTCTATGTACTTGAGTCAAGGAATGTGAAAATGTTATTTCACTAAAGGTACAAAATGTAACCACCAAGTTTCGGTGTCCTTTCAAAAAGTTGCTTGCATTATACAACCAACAGGTAAATGCTTGATACTACTATGATCCTTCTTTTCTACTATTGTCTTTCCTAAAGTTTTTCTTCTTTTTTCTAACATTTCTAACAGCTGGCTTCTAGAAAGACTTAAAATCTCTTAGGGTATCTGGCTCTTCAGAGGTGTGTTTACATGCTACTGATACTCAGAGATTGCTTTGTCACACGGAGGTTATTTTCAAATCTACGATCCTTGTGGTTTCCAGATTACTCCTAAAATGAATATGGGCAGGAGATGGGTCAGCTCCCTAAGCAGTTATCTGTTTTAGTTTTTAACCACAAAACACAAACATCTTAAATCCCAAGGAAGCCATGATAGAGATTTTAAATACTAATACAGGAGGTGCTAAAAAACTGATCAAAAGTGCTTTTTGCTAAATTTTTCTAAGTATGACTAGAACATTAATTTCAAGACAACTATTCCGACAATAAGGAAACAAATGACCCCACAATCTCTTTCCTGTATTTTATATGCTTGTCTGATTTACCAACTTCCAGTTTCCTCAATAGCCCTTGACTTAAACAAAACACATTTAAAATACATACTAAAAAGATAAGTGTTTTTAATTCCTAGTTGATTTGACTAGAAATCTGTAATTTTTCTCGGGGGGGAGTATGGCAAAATGCACAAAAGTTAAAATATGCATACTCTTTGACCCAACAACTCTATGTCTAGGAATTTAATCCAATTAATCAAATTAGTATATGAAAATCTATGTACAAGTATATTCATCCCAGCATATATAATATAGAAACACCAGAAACAATCTTTAAGCCAGGTGCAGTAGCTAGCCACTGAAATCCAACATTTTGGGAGGCCAAGGCAGGAGGAATGCTGGAGGCAACAAGTTCAAGACCAGCCTGGCAACAGTGAGAAACCATCTCTACAAAGATAAACATAAGCTGGGTCTGGTGGCAGAGAGTCAGGCTGGAGGATTGCTTGGTCCAGAAGTTTGAAGTTGCAGCGAGCAATGACGGTATCGCTGCATTCCCAACAGAGTGAGACCCTATCTCTCAAGAAACAAAAAACCTTTAAAATATCCATCATTTAAGAATAAAGTGGGCCAGGCACAGTGGCTCACTCCTGTAATCTCAGCACTTTGGGAGCCCGAGGAAGGCGGATCACCTGAGGTCAGGACTTTCAGACAGTCTGGCCTATATGGTGAAACTCCGTCTGTACTAAAAGTACAAACAATTAGCTGGGCATGGTGGTGGGCACCTGTAATCTCATCTACTCAGGAGGCTGAGGCAACAGAATCACTTGAACCTTTGAGGCAGAGATTGCAATGAGCCGAGATCACACCACTGCACTCCAGGCTGGGCAAAAAGAGCGAAATTCTGTCTTAAATAAAAAGTTTTGTAAAAGGGATATACATAAAATGAAAAATTATGGAACTAAAAATCATACTATTGCTCTAAATTACAGTATGTTGTTACATAAAAGGGACAAGTTGAAAGTGTACTATGCATACATTAAAGTCTATCCCTGTGGTGAAAGGGCACACACCAAAAAGGATTCCTTCTAGATGGTGGCCACCAAGCCTGGCTTGGGTTTTTAATTTTTTATTGAGACGGAGTTTCACTCTTATTGCCCAGGCTGGAGTCCAACGGTGCAATTTCGGCTCACTGCAACCTCCATCTCCTGGGGTTCAAGTGATTTTCCTGCCTCAGCTTCCCAAGTAGCTCGGATTACAGGCATGAGCCACCACGCTCAGCTAATTTTTTTTTGCATTTTTAGTAAAGATGGGGTTTCTTCACGTTGGTTAGGCTGGTCTTGAACTTCCAACCTCCGGTAATCCGCCCGCCTCAGCCTCCCAAAGCGCTGGGATTTACTGGCGTGAGCCACTGTGCCCAGCCAAGGTTTTGGATTTTTAAAAAAATTATTCTGTTTTTAAATTTTCCCCAAGGTGTATGCATTACTCTTGTAGTATACAAAAACCAATTAAAAATCATCTTCTAATTCTTAATGTAATTCTTAGCTCAGTAGAAATATTCACAAGACAGGCGTTTTGTGTGGGACAACAATGCATAACGTGACAGTACCAATGAATGTTTAAACATTTTTTCAGCCTGCATGCCACCTTACAGTGTATGAGGATGCTCTACTTACCCCTTAAATAATCTATCACTTTTCCCTTGATCTTCTGTGCTTTAAGAATTATTTTATGTATTTGGCCACAGTGAATAAATACAAGGCAAGGCTCATAGGTAAAACAAGTTCTAACTACATCTGCAGGGCCACTTCTACTACAATGATATAGAAGTATTCTATAGTCCTCAAATATAAGTAAGAATCAACACAAAGACATCCAGAAATCACATTGTTTGTGTCATATAACAGTAAAAACCACGGTGGCACTTATGCCTTATTTATGCTTTGGAATACTAGTAAAATCTTTTCCCGTTTCATTCTAGTAGATTAAAAACACAAGCTCAAAGAGGTTATTTTTCCTAGGGACACATAAATGACTTAAGACTTCAAATTTTCTTTACTTCCACTCTAATCTTTTCTCCAATTATTTTACCTTTTATTATTTTAACTATGTTACACTTGTATTATTAAATATGTTTAAAAAGAAACAACTGACAAAAGTGAGACTAGTTAGAAAGTATCTGTGATGAAAGCAAAGGATAATGTTCTTCCAACAGAGAGCAAAAGATTAGTTCCCAACTGTCCTCCGGAGATGCATTTTTAATTTTTACTGCATATATCTGTTGATCTCATTTTTTCTTTAGAATTTTAATACTCTTGCCTGGAGTCCAGACATAGTAGTAGGTAGTTTTAGCGAGTGCTCAGTAAATAATACTAAAGCACTCACTAAAACTACTATGTACCAGGTACTGGTAACACTTTCCATATCAGAGGAGGTTGGAGATCTCTCCCAAATTGTTATTTTGTAGTATTCTAGAATCCATACTTTTGATGTACAACTTTAGACATTTCCCCAGAAGTAGAACAATTTCTTCCATCTTTCAGAACTGAAATATTCTAAAGTTCTACAAGGTCCCGACTTTGCTTTTTTTAACAAGTGTTAAATACGCAGTAATGAGACTAAAGCTGCCATTTGATGTCAAGATTCCTAACATACAAGATATTACAAAATATATCAGGCTCCAACATCTCCTTAAGTTCTGATTTTATTTTACATAAAGAACAGCTCATATCCTGAAATGATGGTACTACAGGATGAGTACAGGATTGACAAAATTGCATTTATTTAATGTGCTTGATTTACATCCTACAATTATAATTCATCTCTTTCAAATAACTTAAAGGTAGACAACTATTTCCTACTTAAAATTTTCTGTGGCTGGGCCCGGTGGCTCACACCTGTAATCCCAGTACTTTGGGAGGCCAAGGCGAGCAGGTCACCTGAGACTGGGAGTTTGAGACCAGCCTGACCAACACAGAGAAACCCTGTCTCTACTAAAAATACAAAATTAGCCAGACATGGTGGCACATGCCTGGAATCCCAGATACTCAGAAGGCTGGGGCAGGAGAATTGCTTGAACTCAGGAGGTGGAGGCTGCAGTGAGCTGAGACTGTGCCATTGCACTCCAGCCTGGGCAACAATAATCAAACTCCATCTCAAAAAAAATTCTTTTTTCTGCATGCAGCCCACAGGTTTTAAGTGGCTTGAGTATGGACAGCCCTGAAGGACAGAATTCAGTGAGTATGGTCGAGAATTTACACCAAGGCTGATGTATGGTTTGACCTACTCATTCTGTTCTACTCCAGTCCGTAACTCTAAACTTGTGCTCTGTGAACTGAGTTAACACACTTAAAGTGGGAACAGAAAAAAACTTTCTAATATTTAGCTGATGGCTTCATGTGGTTTCCTATAGATGGCTACAAGTGGAAAGTAAGGGAAAAATGATTCAACAGTGGTATTACTACAAAAATAACTAATGCTATCTTAGACTGTGCCAACAGAAGTGCTGTGAATTAAAAACATTAATAATAATAAAAAAACTATATTCTATTATTATGGCCAATCAGCATGCTCAGGCCTACTTTTCATATTACAGGCAGGATGCTAATGAATTTAAACGTGTTTAACTGAATGTTAAACATATCTTACCTTCATGGCTGAACTATAAATGTTTAGACTTTCAAACTAAGTACATACTCAAGCACAATTTAGTTTTTTTTCCCTGAGACGGAGTTCCACTCTCGTCCAGGTTGGAGTGCAGTGGTGCGATCTCAGCTCACTGCAACCTCCGCCTCCCAGGTTCAAGTGATTCTTCTGCCTCATCCTCCCAACTAGCTGGGATCACAGCCTTGGGTGACTATGCCCAGCTAATTTTTGTATTTTTAGTAGAGAAGGGGTTTTGTCATGTTGGCCTTGAACTCCTGACCTTAGGTGATCCGCCCATCTCAGTCTCCCAAAGTGCTGGGATCACAGGCGTAAGCCATCGCGCCTGGCCAAAATATAGATTAAAATTTTGAAGACTTGTTACAGCTAAGAGGTATGAGACTGATTTTGGGACAAACACTAGGATAAAAACATGCAAGCCACAGAATGTAGATGCAATAGGACAGTTGTAAGTAATTCATTCCAAATCAGAAGACAGAGGTTTGCTATGTATTTCTATGTCACTGAAAATTTTAAAAGACAATGACAAAGCAATTCTCACTTCGGCAGGAATTTTTATTCTACTTAGACATGCAGACAACTTGAGACACCTGTCTTCAGTTTGCTTGTTAAATTCTGCATTTCTTTCTGCTATATGCCAGAACAGCTTTTGAGATCAGAAATGGATAGTGGTAGGAGAGGAGAGAGGAAAGGCATACAGAGCTGAGCTCAAGGCTTCTCTTCTGTATATCAAACAAAATTTTGCAAACAAGAAAGCTAGGAATTCTTTCCCAGATAAACATGAATTTATCATTTTTTCAAGCCTATCAGTCTTAAGACATAACACGCATCTTCAGAAATTTTTTTCAGGCAAAAAATTCAATTCTTATATAAAATATAGATACTAAAAAAAGATGAAAAAAATAAAAAAGAAAAAAAGAAAAATATAGATACTAATTATAAAAATGTATCTCAATTTCAGAAATGTTAAACAGCTTCGGATATATGCTTTATACATTCAAATGTAATTGAACATGCACACTTTTTGTTATTTCAAAGTTCATAACTCTCCTCTGAGAAGTGATTATGCTTCCAAGTTAAGCAACACATCTATGTAACAAGCTTGAACATGAACCCACTGGGGAAAAAAATAATTTCTAAGTCAAGATATAAGCCTACCTGAGAGGTAGTACCTGGCTATTTGCAATGCTCTCCCAAGTGTCAGAAGTACAGGGTAGAGCCAATGGAACTGTTTTAACCTGAGAAGGCTTACAAGAGCTAATTAGTTCTTCCGTAAGTACTGCGATAAACTTGCAGGCGCTGCTTATTGCTGGTAAGGTAATAAAATGTTATTTAAAAGGAAAAATCCTAAAAGGGAGATTGCTTGGTTTCTAACGCTAGTTCTACCACTTTCTGTATTAACCTTGGGCACTGTACCTTCTTTTTGCCTTAATTTACTGAGAGATAAATACTACATGAAATAGTAATTATATCTTAGTCATTATGAACTTTGAGTCTTTTCTAAAGGGCTACTGTTTAGAACATGGCCCTACAGTAAAAGTTAACCATTACCTGTTTGACTGGTTTTTATTCAATGTGAAGGTGGTAAGATAGAGATGATCAAGATTTGGATGAACTTTAGGAGAAAGAATTCTTATTCTTACGGTTTAATTCTAGGCCCAAAGACTCCCTTTAGCTCAGATAAAAAGAATTCCCCACATAGTCTAGTTTAGCTTACTAGTGTAGCATACTGGAGATTAGAAAAGGACATAAGTTCTTTTTATGTGTGTGTTTTTTAATTTACTATCAAGGGTACAATGCTCTAACTCTCAGAACTTTACATAATAACAAGTAGTGAATCAAACAAAGAATTAGAAATAGTCTGGCCTCTAGGTATTTCATGGTTGGTTTACTACTTACCTGAGTTACTACAATGTTACACTCTGCAGCTCGGTCACTCTGGATGAAGTCATCTAGAATGAACTGAGGAACCTGTGTGGTTTTACCACATCCAGTAGCCCCTCTAATAATGACAACTGAATTTTGACTGATTGCTTCCAGAATCTCACTTTCAAATTTCTTCACAGGCAGTAACTCTCTCTCCTGCAAGATCTGCATTAGAAAAGTCACATTTTAGTTAAATTTCTACTGACACATTAGAAGCAAGTATCTTAATCTTTTACAAAACCTCCATCTCTACAGGCCAGGCGTGGGGGCTCACACCTGGAATCCCAGGACTTTGGGAGGCTGATGATCACAAGGTCAGGAGTTTGAGGCCAGCCTGGCCAACATGGTAAAACCCTGCCTCTATTAAAAATACAAAAATTAGCCAAGTGTGGTGGCACACGCCTGTAATCCGAGCTACTCCGGAGGCTGAGGCAGGAGAACTGCCTGAACCTGGGAGGTAAAGGTTGCAGTGGGTTGGGACTGCGCCACTGTACTCCAGCCTGGGCAACAAAGCGAGACTTTGTCTCAAAACAAACTTCCATCTCTATAAAAACTTACTCATTTCCATTGGCTTAGTGATCAAAATATTTTTTTCCAAAAAGGAAAGTGTATATTTATATCTCTAATAGAACTGCTTCTTTTCACTAAATTTCTAAAGAATATATCTTTTGGTGTTGTCCAAAAACTAATTTTCCTCATTCTCCCTAAACATCACACATGCATTTTTTAATGTTTTTTTTTTTTTTTTGATTTAAAAAACACTAAAATAGAAACAAAACCCTAACAACAAAAGAAGTTATTGCCTTAAATCTCTCCACTTTTCAAATTACATTAAGTGAAAATCTCGCCTGGTGCGTTGGCACACGCCTGTGATCCCAGCACTTTAGGAGGCTGAGGGCGGCAGAACACAAGATTAGGAGCTCAAGGCCAACCTGATGAACCCCATCTCTACTAAAAATACAAAAATCAGCTGGGCATCGTGGCAGGTGCCTGTAATCCCAGCTACTCGGGAGGCTGAGTCAGGGGAATTGCTTGAACCTGGGTGGTGGAGATTGTGGTGAGCTGAGATAACATCACCGCACCCCAGCCCGGGCGACAAGAGACTCCAAAAAAAAAAAAAAAAAAAAAAAAAAAAAAGGTAAAATTTTCTCCCAGGCCCTCAACTCATAGCAACTAACTTTAGGGGTAACTAGGATTAGCAGTTTGGTACATATCTTTGATTTGTCCTCCTAAAAAGGGCAAAATGTTTCATTCAGTGACTTTTTACCCATACCCAGAACATTCTGAAGCTCTGGGCAACGCATGTCTAAATAATTCAGACTTACTGCTTGCAAATCATGATCCTGTTCCAACTGGTACATCAATTCATTCTTGAGGTCCATGCTTATTTGCTCTGGAGTAGCCTGTAAAACAAAAACCCACATGGTTAAACAAAAGCACATAATTCAGCTTCAAAATAAATCCATTTTTTACCTAGACATACTAATCAAACATACTCAAGAGTAAAACACAAGAGTCTGATCTCAAAAATAATACTGCACTCACAAAAGCCAGAGGCCCCTCATCAATGTTGCTACTGGTCCAAGGATTCCAGTTGGATTGTGGAGGTGACCAAGGAACCACACCCACTTGGTTCTGTCGTTGAGATGGTTCAAAGTGAGCCAATTTGCCAATGTTGAGTGCAACTGGCATAGAAGGATCTTCAGGCTATTAAAAAATGAGAACAACAACAACAAAATGATTTGCTTGTCTACTGAGAGTTCTACATACATGTGAACTAAATAGCTGTATGCTTACCGGGGGCAGAATCTCAAGATTTAGCTCTTGAATGATGTTTTGCAGCTGATGCTCTAAATCTTGAGAGATGTTTACTTTGTAAGGCTCCACCTACAAAAAAGGATCACACATATAAATACTACTCAAATCTACTATGGTGGGGCTAAGACTATACAGTCAACACTAAGTCTACAGTATTCCTAAGCCAACAGTCAGTTCCCTTTAGTGAGAATTACTTCAATGATTATTATTTACTCATTGCCTATTACGGACACCATGCCAGACATAGGTGATTAGCAAGGCCATTTCACTTCTCGAGGTAAGATTCCTTGAAATTAAACTTCTTTAGCCAAATACGAAACAAAAGCTAAATTATATCTCACGGGTCTACTATAAATCTAAAAACTCACTGTCTCTCCTTCCTTCTTCTTTGTAAGTCCAGAGTAAGCTTCAACCACTCCAAGATGGTAGAGTTGTCTAACAAGTGACAGGGCACAGGACTGTGCTGCCAATTTCTTATTTGATCCATGTTCTCGTGCAAAAATTCCTATAACGTAAGATCAGGTTTATCAGACAGAAGGATCAATCACTTAAGTAAAGAAACATCTTATCACCAGGAACCATGGGCTTCGGTACAAAAAAAGTCCTAAAATACAGTGTACGCCATGGGTTCTAGTTCCTTTCTATTCTATTAATATATGCTAAACAAAAGAAATTGCCAAACAGTTTATCAACTAAATAACCAACTGTTTTGATTACAGGCTGATACTAGGACTCACATAAATCAATATTATGAAAGCAAAAACCTATTTTAAAAGTTGTCAGTGTTATCTGGCATTAAAATAGTGGAAGAAAACATAGGCTGACTTTTGAAAAGCCAGAGTACAAAAATAAACCAATAAATGAAATCAGTTCTAGAGTGGTTACCTAGACCAGGATTTGGAAAGCTTTTTCTATAAAGGGTTAATAAATATTTTAGGATTTGCAGGCCATAGTCTCTTGTCACAACTACTCAACTCTGCCTCTAATGTATGAAAGCGGCCACAGACTATTAATAGAGTTTGACAAACCATAGGTCTGGGAATGGTTTTATGTTTTTCAAGAGTTGTAAAAGTAAAACAAAAATAACAATGTGTGACCTGTGAAGTCTAAAATATTATCATCTAGTCCTTTATAGAAAGAGTTTGCTGTCCTCTGACAAAGGAATAATTGTAGTTATGAGTGTAGCTATGTTCAAATAAACACTTATAAAAACAGGCAGTACATTGGATTTGGCCAGACAGCTACAGTTTGCTGACCTCAGTATTAAACTAAAGCTAACAGCTACTTATGTCCTTAAAGAAAATACTAATAGAAAGTTTCCTATCCCCCAGTATCATTCAGTTTTAGGAGAAATGAATATAATGCAAAGGTGTACAAAGATATCTTTCTGCTTAACTAGCCAAATTAACCCTAATCAAATTAGTGAGGTGACAGAAGTTAGCCTGCCTTTATCCCTTAATATTTCCCATCCATTCAAAATAACTCATTTTACATGTAAAAAAAGTTTTAAAATTCTTTGACACTGGCAGACTCCTAATCATCCTGCTTTATCTTAACTTTCAAACATTACACTAACATGGTCTGCTTCACAGGTAAACTGGAAGACTTTGCCTCTAATGTATATAATTACTAATATTCTAAAATATAACCTAGATGCTATCTTACATTATGTGTTCTTTCAATAATACAGCTTCTCTATACAAAACCTTGTAATACTGGGGAAACAGTAACACTTACTTCTGCCCAGTTGCTTGATATAAATGGTCATTTCTGCAATAAAGCTCCTGTAACAACATATACAAGCAAGGTTAGAAATTTCACTGTTAGAAATTGGCAAATCCAGGTCTCCCACGTCAGGCAGGCTTTCCAACTGCTTAGGCAAATCACAGAAAAAAAAATTACCAACATTTATTTCTGCCCAACCCTAGAACAAATGAAGTATATAAACTTCAAATACACAACATGGCATAAGACAACTATAATCAAAGTCGATGAGCCAATTGTTCATGAAAGGAAAACGTTAGGGTTTTAGATTTTATATTTACTTACTCTTATTCCAAAGGCTGGAGACTGAACAGCAAGAACACATTCAATGAAAAGGAATTTTCCACTTAGCTTGGAGCCAAGAAATAAAGTAGGCCCAAAATGCTTTACATTACTGTTAGAATTGTTTTAAGATTCTTCTGCACAGGCCACCCATTAATGACTGCAAACTGTTAAGAGTAAGCTAATATACGCAAACTGACACATGCACATACACTTTGTGCACATCAATGGCTCCTAAGGCAGAGTTCTCACATCTGCCTGCAGTTGGAAGCGGCCCTGGATGACAAAAAACTTAGCCTATTTACATCACATTTATTTAAATCAGGTCCTGGAGAACAAAATACATGTTGTAACATTGTATCTAAAACTGCTTGTGGAGTCTAGAAAATGAATTTAGGTTTTCACAAGGGAAAAACTGCCCTTTGAAATCTATGCATTCTGGTCCTTTCACTGCTCAGATACATTCTAAACCTAGACTGTGCTGTGAATAAAAGGCTAGGTGAGGCTTAAGAAAAAAATTAATGTTAGACTCCTTCCTATACCTCTTGTGAACTGACCTTCAGGCACAGCGGCTTCAGGGGTCAAAGGCCACTGGCTTTCAGGGGAACAACATCCACCCTTTCATTAAGGACATCGATGCCAGTATGTTTCTCAGCCAGGCTTAAAGTCAGCACTCAATCTCATTCTCCTCCACCTAGGGGGAACAGCGACACCAGAAATCAGTTTACAATAGTTTCCCATGTGATTGCTTAGTTCAGCCTAAGCAGCAGCACATGTGTATTATGAACACAGACCTCTGGTGTTGCTGTCTGTTATGCCTTTAAATTAAAGGCCATACAGGAATGCTGTCCTGGCTCCCCCAATTGTCTGTGCCTCTCACATTGTCTTTTCCTGAATTCTTCATTGCTTTGTATCAGAAATCTTTAAGATACTGATAACAAAAAAATGTCTGCAACGATGAGCTTCAGGCACACTTAGGTATCTTACTGTTCTTAAAGTCACCAAGTGCTACCAAGCCCAAATCGTTCAGAAAGACAAAATATGAAAGAAAACAATCAACAAATGTGTCACTCCTTTATAACCTGAAGGTTTTAAAAGGCTGACACCAGAAATATTTGAGAATTCAGGATTGAACAAAACAGTGGGAGGAAGGAGGAACCATGCTCTAAATATCATTTTGATCAGTGATAAAATTTTGTATTAATAATTAGTATTTTAGGGTCGCTAGATGCAGCCAAAAGAACACTTTGATTTTCAAGAAAAATATTTTTAATGTATTTTGGATAATTTATTTCAATAAGGACAGCAAATTAATCATTCAGAAGGTTTCCATTACAACCTCCCCTCCCTTCTAATAAAAATACACAGCTCCCCAGAAAAGTCTAATCCGTATGAGCCTTCCTGGGAGTAATAATTACTACACCCTGGAATGCTCTCAGGAAGAACAGCAAGCAGGCTGAGAAACATACTGTTCAAACGACCTCCCTTTATATTCAGTTTAATAAATTTAACAGGAAAAAAGTACACCCCAACATACAAAGACAGGCTGTTCCTTTTTGACCTTATGATTAGCCCTTAAATTTCAACAGGACTCCTAGGAAAGCTGGCAATTTTTAAGGCTTAAGTGAAATGTGGATGTAGATGCAATACAATCTACTTCTGGGACTCAACACTAAGTATCTAACCTATTTCTTTAATAAGAAATAGTAACTGCCTCTAAGAATACCAAGGTGAACAAAATCACCACCTTTGGCTGGTTTTTAAATCAACTAGGGACAAACCAGCACTTGTGGTTATGACTTTTGCCTTAAGATTCAAATAAGCAGCTTAAAAGTCTAGCATGACAAAAAGCAGATTTATACTGAACTTCTTACACAGCTAAAATTCACACTCATGTGAAAGCCATGGAAATTGCACATTACAAATCAATAATTATTCTTGTGCAAAGTAACATATGTTTTCACAATTCACTTCTAATCCACACGACCAGAAAACACGTATACAAAAATATATTCCATAGTGAATGTCTAAAATCATCTTAGCTTACTACAGAAGGAAAAGAACGAAACAAGCAAACCTGTTGTGATCAGGACCCACTTGGGTGTACTTATATTCTCCTTGGATCTTTTCTTTCTGAAAATATTGGTTTAGACGAGCTTTAGCATTTTCCAAGGTCCAGTTCCCATGAAGTCCAGCATTTAAATCCACTTCTTCTGACTCTAGAGTCTGTGGAATCAATGATAATTGGACTACATTAAGTTTGGTTACACAAACTTAAGGCATAGAAATTTTTAATCCTTCTTTGTACTATCCAAAAACTGAACCAGAATTAGTTTTTATTGCATCTAAAGGCCCTGTTACGTAAACAAGCTATTAGTTAATATATTGCACTTAAATTCTTCCTAAAGAAAAAAAGACAACTTCTTTGTGTTTGTTTTAACACTGAATACATGAAATGGAAAAATAAGCTATATTATTAAAGACATTTTTTACTGTAAGTGCTCATAAAGTCAGGTTTCCTGAGATAATTATATTTCCTATAAAGCAAAAGAGGAAACCTTTTCAAAATCAAGAAAAAGTACTGTTCTTTCCCCATAGGCAATGTGAATAACAATAGTAAATGGGTAGTTATGATGACTTGTGCTAATAAGTAGTCTCAATCTCTTAAAAGATATGCCCAATTATTAACTTGTAAATATCCTAAATCTTGAAGCTGTTAACTTAAGTCCCAAATCATATTCTCAGAGATGTAAGGTGCTAGCCTTACCGCTTGCACTTCTTGTTCTTCCTTTCTTGAGTAGTAATCCTTCAAGTTAGCTCCTCGGTCCCAGTTGGGCTCAGGAACACCATAGCCAGAGGACCCTCCCTCAGAATTATTTTCTGTTTAAAAATAAATAAATAAATAAATAAATAAAAAGTCCTCAATGAATTGTTACTGTGGACAAATCCTAAATACTTTTAAAAATTATCCTAATTTATGGCTGGGTACGGTAGCTCACACCTGTAATCCCAGCATTTCAGGAGGCCATGGTGGAACCCCAACTCTATTAAAAAAACAAAAATTAGCCTGGCATGGTGGTGCATGCCTGTAATCCTAGCTACTTGGGAGGCTGAGGTGACAGAATCGCTTGAATCTGGGAAGTGGAGGGGCCTGAAACGTCCATGACTTACTTGAAAAGTGTTAAATCACTGAAGAATTCAAACTGCAAATTCTGAGGCTAATATGCAGAGGGAAGCTATCTTAGTAGTGAATGACAGGAAGTGAATAACTCAGCATATATTATCAATATAGCTTTGTTTTAAATTTGTTACATATGTAACAACAGATTAAATGATGAAACTATTTCTTTTATAATATGACTGAAAAGATAGCTACCTGCTAGAACTAGTGATGGAAATAAGTTAACTATTGATGAAACTGCCAAGTAAGTAAAACTAGCAGCCAGCAATGACTATTAACCCAAGTTTATTACATTCATTAAAAAAACTTTCTCTCTCAAAGTAATCATATGCAGTAGATACTACTGTTCTTTAAAAAATAGTAGAGACTTAAGCAATTTGACCAAAACCCTAGTTAATCTACCCCATGGTAGACATCCCAGTAAAAGCTGTGACTATTCATTAAGTCCTCACTTAATGTCATTGTTAGATTCTTGAAAACTAAGACTTTTAAGTTATTCTGCTTAAAGTCTTAGCAGTTTTCAAGAACTTACTGAGGACTTACTGCATATAGAATTTCGCAATGGTTTAGATCCAGAGGATAAACAAGTCAACAATATATTTGTTAAGAATAAGGAACAAGAAAAGGCAATTCCTAAGATCCTTTAACCAAATATTCTAGCCCATGCAAAACCTATTTATTCAGAGAAAAATTTAGTAAAAGCTAATGATGGCAAAACTTTCTAAGTTGCTGACCACACTTTCTAAAAAAAGATAAAATAAATGATCTGGTGGTATGTGCAAATTTGTGAAGGCCTTGGGTTGTCTCTCTTAACATCAACAGTTTACTGCAGTTCTTTTTACCCAAAATGAGAAACAGAGATGGTGATCAAGATTGTGTATCTCTTATTCTCCATCATGGTGCATGCATTCAAGTCTCTTACCTGCTTTGAGTGCCAGATGTGGAGGAAGAGGTCCTCCCATGGTTGTTGGTAAACCTCCTTCAGCATTTGCTGTAGCATCAGGAGTATCGGTAAGTGGGGGCGGAGATGCTACCTGCAAGAGAAAAAGTCAAGGCAGGGTCAGTGTTTTTGCTTTCACAGAGATTAGTAAATTCTTTTAATATTTAAAAGAGACCCATGTGTCACACCACCTTTCTTTGTAATATTACCATCTTTGTTCAGAGCTTAAGTCTCTAGAGCAGTGTATCTCAAACTATCTGAAACGAAGAACTGGCTGAATGTTTCCCCTAATCCACTGGGAACAACATTTCTCTAGGATCAGCCCAATTAACCAAGGCCTGGGAAAAATTCAATGGGCAGTACTGTCACCACAATGCTAACTTGTCCTCTTTTTTCTACCTACCATCTTGCCACTCCAGGGCCTCAAATTCCTCTCTACCTCCCTCTCTACTTACAACAACCTAAAAGAAAATTCCTAACCTATGAGAATTGAGGTGTCTGAGTGATACAACTTCTGTTTTCCAGTGATGGGGAAGATTTCCTTTTTTAACATTTCAAAATCAATTAAAACAGGTGAGGTATAAGAGTATTAAATTGTCATAGTGCATAATCTTGACTCTGCCTAAGGAAGAGTCAGCAATATGAGAAAATTTTTTTCAAGTAATTTACATTAAGTATTTTATCACGTTAAAATATACATTTAAATAGCTAAAGAAAAATAGATTTTTAGTAACATTGGTAATGCTATAGTCCATTTATTTATTTTTCTGTCCTCACAATATGTTTCTATTTTTTAAAAAAAAAATTTTTTGAGACAGGGTCTCACTCCATCACTCAGCCTGGAGTGCAATCGTGCAATCACAGATCACTGGAACTGTTGGGCTCAAGTAAGCCTCCTGCCTCTACCTCCCAAAGTGTTGGTATTACAAGTGTGAGCCGCCACGCCATTTTTCTTTTCTTTCTTTTTCTTTTTTTTTTTTTTGAGACAGGGTCTGGCTCTGTCACCCAGGCTGGATGATTTAGCCTTGGAAATAGTCAAGTACTGATATATTCATTACAAAAAGAGGCAAGTATCTGACAGAATACCCAAGCTTGGAATAGTATTATATATGAATACCTAATACTTAACGATATGGTTTCAAACTGTATCCAAAAGGAAGATAAAAAAAAAACTAAGGAGCAGTCGGAGACAGAAAGATAAGAGAATCCAGTGCCAGAGAAGACAGAAAAATGTGTTGGTTTGGAGAATGTGATCAATAAAGCTGAATGCTGATGAAGTAAAAAAAAAAAAAAAAAAAGTGTGTGTGTGCATGTGTCCATTTTATACTGAAAAAAATTTTTGATATGGCAAAAAACACAAGTAAAAATAAAGTTATAATAGGCAAACTGAGAAAAATGTTTGTGTCACATCACATGTAAAGAGTTAATGTTGCTAACATATAAACAGAGGAACAGACCAAGAATTCAATAAAAAAAAAAAAAAAGGAAGTATATGTATAGGCAGTACACAGAACTACATAAGCAAATGATCTGTAAAGGCCAAAAGATGTTTGAATTCGCTCATAATTTTAAAAAGCAAATTAAAAGAATACTAAGATATCTAACATAGACTGACCAAAAAAAAAAAAAAAATACACTAGTGATGAGATTATAGACCAAGGTTTCTCAACATCTGCACCACTTGACATTTCGGCCAGATAATTATTTGCTGAAGAAAGCTGTCCTGAATACCACGGTTTTTAACATCCTTGGCCTCTACTCACCAAACACCATCAGCACACCTCCTTCAAGTTAAAACATCTCCAGACGTTACCAAACGTCCCATGAGGGGGTAAAGTTTATGAAACAATCAGAAAAATCTAAACATTAACTGGATATCTGATTATATTAAGACACTTCTTAAATTTTTCTTTTAGGCTTCATTATGTATTTTTTTAAAAAAGGATATTTTAATTAAAAAAACTGAAATATTAACAGATGAATAATAAGATGTCTGGGATGCTCCCAAATAATCTAAGAAAGGGGAGCAGTTAGGGTAGAGATGAGTCAAATTGAAAGTGTTGCAGCCAGATGATGGAAACACGGAGTTTCACCATATTATTCTTTTATACACATCTACAATTGCCCTCAGCAAAAAGTTTTCGAAATATCCTCTTACACAGGTCACTTTTGGCAAATCCAATTTATGGCATGAAAGGTTCCAGATGAAATAAGTGATGTGAAAAAGGATTTGCCTGGAATAAGGAGGTAAGATAAAGATGGTAGCTAGCTAACAGTTTGGTTATGTGTCCCTGCCCAAACCTAACGATGAATTTTTTTTTTTTTTTTTGAGATGGAGTCTTGTTTTATTGCCCATGCTGGAGTGCAATGGCTTGATCTCAGTTCCCTGCAACCTCCACCTCCTAGGTTCAAGCAATTCTCCTGTCTCAGCTTCCCGAATAGCTGGGATTACAGGCGCATGCCACCATGCTTGGCTAGTATTTGTGTTTTAGCAGAGGCAGGCTTTCACCATGTTGGCCAGGCTGGTCTCGAACTCCTGACCTCAGATCATCTGCCCACGTTGGCCCCCCAAAGTGCTGGCGTTACAGGCGAGAGCCACCATGCCCGGCCCTCGTGTGGAATTTTAAACCTCAATGTTGAATGTAGAGCTTGGTGAGAAGTAAATGGATGACAGGGTAGGTTTCTCATGCATTGTTTAGTACTACATTCTCACTATCCAACAATAGCAAGTGTGTTCTCCTGAGATCTGGTCATTTAAAAGTATGTGGCACCCTCCCCTTTATTTTCTTTTGCTCCTGCTATATAGGATATGCCTGCTTCCCCTTCACCTTCCGCACCCTCATTCTAAGTTTCCTGAGGCCTCTTCAGAAGCCAAGCAGATTCCAGTACCACGCTTCCTGTACAGCCTGCAGAACTGTGAGCCAATTAAACCTGTTTTCTTTTTAAATTATGCAGTCTCAGGTATTTCTTCATAGCAACCCAAGAATGGACTAATACAGTGGTTACAAGTAGAAATGGGCTGTTATAATTTTCTCAAATGAATCCATTCACTTATTCAGTGAACCAAAAAACATTTAAGAGTCTGCTATAGACCAGAACCATTTTAAATGTTGGGGACACAGCAATGAACTAAAAACAAAAAAATCTCTGCCCTCATGAACTTACATTCTAATACAAGCAAACAAAAATAAATTAGGTTGGAACAGGGCTTCTCACCTTGGTGACATTTTAGGCTGAATAATTCTTTGTTATATGGGCTGTCAAGTGCACTATATGTTATCAGCAGCATTCCTGGCCTTCACCTACTAGATGCCAGTGGCCGCCTCCAGGTATAAGAAAAATACGTCCCTTAAGGGGGGCAAACTGGTCTCAGTTGAGAAGCACTGAGTTAAAAGTAAGTGTTATGGAGAAAAATGATAACGTGAAAGGGTTTAAGAAGTAACCTAAGGGTGACAGCGAATTGATAATGTTAAACAGGACAGCTGAGGAAGAGTCCTTCGGGTAGAAGAAACGGGTATGAAAGTTTTGAGACAGAAAGAGGGCATATTTGAGGAACTATGAGAAGTACAGTGTAGCTGGAACAGAGGAAGGAGAAAGCAGGAAATCCACAGAGCCATTTAACAGAAAGTATCTAAGCCATGTTAAAATACTAACAAAAAAATGACATAAAGGATTACTCCTGGTTATAGCCAAGTAAGCTCCTGTAAGACTGACTCTCCTGCAGGTAACATAAACTTTAGGAAAAGAAAAAAATACACACATACACCACCCCAGAACTATGTTCAGGCAATAAAAAGTGAACCAAAACAAAACAAAAAACAAAACAAAACAAACAAACCAGGTAGGTTCTTGAGAGAAGTTAAAATAGGGAAGCACAGAGTATCAAGGGTCTAATTCCAGTTTATTGTAGCTTTTAGCCTGAGGGAAGCCATCTCAAGCAGCTAAAATTCCAATGAAACCACCCTTTTGGCCTGGAAGAATCAGAATGAGAATTCAGGGAAACCAAAGCTAATAGAAAGTGAGGGAATGCTGGAAAGGAAAATGCCAGAGGAGTAGAATTCCCAAATTCTGTATATGAAATATCTGGCTAAACCCCTGAAAACCACACATCATGTCCAGGGCAGATTCCAAGCTGCCCAGCAAAGGAGACCTGAAGGAGTCTTCCTTGGCTGTCCTATTTAAACAATCAGAAAACTGAGGTGCTATTTGAGTTAACACCCAAAACACAGCATGCATTTTGAGTCCAATCAAATTAAATGGCTGATTAAAAACAAAACAAAAAACCACATCAATGCTCTCTGGAGAAGTGTAACATTATTCAGAATCTCCACAGCATAATATTCTAATGCTATCTGGTCTTCAATTTCATTTCCCTAGCATAAAACTCCCAAACCCTTATAATCTCCTAAGTGGAGATTTTTTGTATGCTAATGTGTTGATTGCTGGCTGGCAGCCCCTAGATAGCTTCAGTGTAGGCAATGGTCACCAGGAAAACCAATGAAAAAGATTAGAGGGCTGGAACTTCCAGTCCCAACCCCCAACCTCTGGGAAGGGGAGAAAGGCTGAAGGTCCAAGGCACAAATGGCCAACGATTTAATCAAAACTGAATAACGAAGTTTCCATAAAAACCAAAGGACAGGGTTTGGAGGGCTTCCAAATAGCAGAACACGTGGAGGTTCCTGAAGAATGGTATTCAAGGCAGTATATGGAAGCTCCCTGTCCCTCCCCCTGTATCTTGCCCTATATATCTCTTCAGCTGTATTTTGTAGTGTACTTTATAACAAACTGGTAAATCTGAGTTCTGTGAGCCACTCTAGCAAATTAACTGAACCCAAAAAGGCAGTCATGAGAACCATAACTTGAAGCTCCCTAGTCAGAAGATGTAAAAGCCCTGACTTCCAGGTGGTATCAGAGGGGGGCTGGGGAGTCTTGTGGGACTGAACCCTCACCCTGTGGGATCTGACACTATCCAGGTAGTGTCAGAATTGAACTGGAGGACACCCAGCTAGTGTTTGCTGCAGAACTAATTGTTTGCTTGGTGTGTGTAGAAAAAGCTTCTCTCCCACTACCCATTTTGGTCACAGAAATCTTCTGTGTTGATTGTGTGGTATGAGAGAAGAGGAAAACTTTTTTTTATACTCACAGACTGAAAGGGGGAAAAAAGCTTTGGCATTCCACAATTCTATACCCAGTAAAAATATTCTTAAACAAGGCAAAATAAAAATATTTTCAGAAAGAAAATAAGAGAATTTGTCACCGGGAGATCTACAAGACTAGAGAAGAACTTAAAAGATACAGAATGAATAGATGGAGACTTCAAAGACTTCCAACATGTCAAAGATATTTGCAAAACTGTTTTCACAACCAGAAGGAATTTGCAAAATCATCTTGCCCAATCCCTTCATTTTACAGATAGGCAAACCAATGAGATTAAAGACTGTAAGATCCTATAATTATCCAGCAGTTAATCTACCAGAAATGGAAGGAAATAAGATTTCCTTTATAACGAGTCAGAATACCATCATAAACAAGTCAGAATACAAAAATTCAGTGAATAAAAGATCATGTTAAAATTGGCATGGACAGGCCAGGTGCGGTGGCTCATCTGTAATCCCAGCACTTTGAGAGGTCGAGGCAGGAGGATCACTTGAGGTCAGGAGTTCAAGGCCAGCCTGGCCAACTAGAGAACCCTGTCTCTAGTTAAAATATAAAAATTAGCTAGGTATGGTGGGACCTGCCTATAATCCCAGCTACTCAGGAGGCTGAGGCAGAATTGCTTGAACACAGGAGGCGTAGGTTGCAGTGAGTGCAGATCATGCCACTGCACTCCACCACTCCACCCTAGGTGACAAAGCAAGACGCTGTCTAAAAAAAAAAAAAAAAAAAAAAAAGAGAAAGAAAGCTTATTTCTTAAAAACTACCAGAGCCCAGTGTAGTGGCACACACCCACAGTCCCAGATACTGGGGAAAAGCTGAGGTAGGAGGATGGCTTGAGGCCAAGAGTTTGATGGAGCCTATGAATAGTCACTGCACTCCAGTAGCAAAAACCAAAAAAGCAGAAAAACAAAACAAAAACAAACCCCAAAAAACAACCTACTAGAGAGGGGTATTAATTGTTGCATACTTACAAAACTAAAATAACCATGATAGAAAGAACACAAAAATACTCCATTGCATAAAATACTATTTTGTTACATAAGGACATGTCAGCCAGGTGCAGTGACTTATGCCTTTGTTACCAACACTTTGGGAGGCTGAGGTGGGTGGATGGATCACTTCAGGTCAGGAGTTCGAGACCAGCCTGGCCAAAGTGGCAAAACCCCGTCTCTACTAAAATTATAAAAAATAGCCGCGCATCATGGTGTGCGCCGGTAATCCCAGCTACTCAGAAGGCTGAGGCAGGAGAACTGCTTGAACCCAGGAGGCAGAGGTTGCCATGAGCTGAGATTGTGTCACTGCACTCCAGCCTGAGTGACAAAGAAAGACCCCACCTCAAAAACCAAACAAGTTCTCAGAAGTGGTGGCATGCACTTGTAATCCAGCTACTCAGGGAGGTGGGGAGGGTAAGGCTGAAGGATTGCTTGAGCCCAAGAGTTTGGGGCTGTAGTGAGCCAACACTGTGTCATTGCATTCTAGCCTGGGTGATAGAGCAAGACCCCACTGCTTACTGGGGGACAAAAAGTGTCAGTGGGAACAAATGTGTCTAAAATATTACTAATTTTTATATTCTATTTAAAACATTATCCTTGGAAATGAGTAGAACATAATAGACTCTGAAATCTCCGGTGTATAAATTCATGGAATAAATAAAACCGTAAGACACAAAGATTAATAGAATTTCTCAAGCCCGTAAGACAGGTACATAATGAGGATGCAATCCACATCTTCAGAAACCTTGTCCAGTGCTCAGAGAAAACAAGATGCCAAATTTCATTAAGAAACATGATATATCTGAAAATAGTGAAAAATTATTACCCTGAAACTCTAACACATATTGAGTTTGTATAACGTTACAAACATACATCTCAAGTGCTTGGCCATAGGTACTTACCCCAAAAGCTGGAACTTCTTCACTCTTTATTTCATTTATTCGAACCAAATAGTTAACAAAGTCTCTGGCAGCATTGCTCTGTGCATCTTTTTTATTGGTGGAATTTCCCATGCCAGTGTAATTATACCCTTCCACCTGGACCTTTAATCAATTAAAAAAAAAAAAAATAGTAGTAAAAGACTGACCTGGGTAATTCTGCTATTTTAACAATCTATAATTCAGAAGTCTATTAAGAAACAACAGCTAACTTTAGAAAATAAACTCTAAAAATATACTGAAAATAATACACCTAAAAGAATTCATGAGCTACTGATAGTAAAAGCTTAAATTGTGTTGTCTAGTGATAAGCTAATCCAAAACTAATGTAAGTGGTTCAGATACTTTCTTCTCATCTAACATAAGGTTCACATTAAAATCTGATTTTGTAATATCCATGAACAAGCTCTCCATTTGTATTTAAGCACTTTGCTTTGAAGCAATCAAATTGCTCTGCTTTCTGAGTGTTTGCAAAACTGTAAACAGTTGATCCAACTTTTCAGATCCCCACTCACTACTGGTACTGAGGAAGCTGGGGGAGACATGTGCTCTAATTAGAATAATTTACCTGTCAGATTGTTTTATAAGTAATGCTGACCTGAAAATGATTTACAATAGCAGTCAAGCCACAATTAACAACTGTTGTTTCCAAATGTGAAACACATTAACATCTCCAAACAGAAAACATTTTACTTTTAACCCCAAAACGAACCCCATGAATCACATAAATGTAAACTGTAATCTTCAGTACCTCACACATGAATTTCTGCCTGTTTTTGTTCCCCACTGCTCTAATTTCATAGGATGGGGTCATCTTCCTTTTGCCACACCAGGCATACAGAAAATTTTTAACATCACCCATGATTCAAGTGTCTTCTTCAGACCTAAGGAAACAAAAATCAGTTAAAAACAGCATTTATAATAACAAAAATTGAAGAGCCAATTATCTGGATTACTGAATCTAGGTTAAACACAGGACATTCTATCATGTTGCTATTAAGACTGCCTATAAAGAAACTTTAATGACATAATTGGAATGTTTGTATGTTTTTAAAAAAAAGATACAAAACGGTATTACTTGAACTACATGAAAAGTATATACACACGATCAAGACTGGAAAGAACAGCCCCTAAAATGGTTGTTGTTGGGGACTATGAGTAATTTTTATTTTTTCTTACAAAGTATTTTACATAAGGCCCTACATTCTACAACGGGCATCTTATGTATTTAACTCACTTCACCCTCACAATAATGGCAAGCAGATACGGTGGATACTATCACTGTCTTTTTCAGGGAGGAAGAAACTAAGACTTAGAAAATTAAGGAACTTCCAAGTCACCCATAGTGGAGGCCTAAATTCAAATCCAAACTACCATATTAAGAAACAGGTATCATTTGTGTATAAATTCAATAGTTTATTCTCACTCTGATTATGACCACGAGGACACTATCCTCAAAGTTGTAGGCTGCATATATTAATAAGGTCAAATACAGGGAAGGGGCGGGATCAGTTAAAAAAAAAGTTCAAATGCATTAAGCACTCAGTACTGAAGACAGTAACCTATTAAATGTTGTATGCCAAATCTCTCCTTTAAACCTTATTATTCATTAAAATTTGAGGATATTCAAGGTTTTCTTGAAGTGCAATAATCAGTCTTGGCACTCCTCTACCTCAGACTAAATACCACAAGATAGGAAGTCTATGAGTCTAAATGCTGAGTCTGAACTGTAAAGCAAGGTATCCGAGACCACATTTATAACCAGAGTAAATAAAATATGCTATGAATTTAGTTTGCTATGAAATGAAACCCCATTACAAGCATTAAACCGTCTGCTTCACGTTTCACATTTGACGCGTTGTTAGCACCTACATCTAATCTCATCAAACTGCACCTGAGCATAAGTTATGTTTATTTAGTGGCCACAGTTTAACTCTGGTCAGCCATTTGTCCAAGGCAATGTCCTATTAATAAAAAGCCGTGGAAAGCTGAAGATGTCTATGTGGAAATTCCACCTCATGAATAAATAAACAACAAGCTCTCATGGTGAATGAGTAAGAAATATGAAGGACTATACTATCAAAGTCCCGTCTCCGTAGTCTCGTACAACCCCATAATGTCCAATACCAACTACATGCTATTGATGCCCAGATATATATGGAAAGTTAGGCCAAGCTCGGTGGCTCACGCCTATAATCCCAGCACTGGGGGAGGCTGAGGCGGGCAGATCACCTGAGGTCAGAAGTTCAAGACCAGCCTGACCAAAATGGAGAAACCCCGTCTTTACTAAAAACGCAAAAATTATCCGGGCGTGGTGGCACGTGCCTGTAACCCCAGCTTCTGGGGATGCTGAGGCAGGAGAATCGCTTGAACGTGGGAGGCCACGGCTGTGGTGAGCCGAGATCGCACCATTGCATTCCAGCCTGAGCAACAAGAGCAAACCTCCGTCTCAAAAAAAAAAAAAAAAAAAATTAAAAATAAAGAATAATTTTTTTTTTTTTTTTTTGAGACAGAGTCCTGTTCTGTCGCCCAGGTTGGAGTGCAGTGGCGTAATTTCGGCTCACTGCACCTCCGCCTATTGGTTCAAGCGATTCTCCTGACCCAGCCTCCGGAGAGTAGCTGGGATTACAGGCAACCCCCACCACGCCCAGCTAATTTTTTGTATTTGTAGTAGAGACTGCGTTTCACCATCTTGGCCAGATGGTCTCGATTTCCTGACCTCGTGATCCGCCCGCCCCGGCCTCCCACCGTGCTGGGATTACCGGCGTGAGCCACTGCGCCCAGCCAGTCTTTTCTCTTAAAGGTCCAAAATCAAGTTCATCTATCTGTGGCACGAACTCACCCATGTGCCATGCTAACCTGGCATCTCAGTCAAAACCGAATTTTAAATTTCCTTCCCCTCAAACCTGTTTCAACACCCTGCCACTACATTTTGGTCTCCAAAAACGGTACAATATCCACAAAGTTACTCCTGGCACAAGTTGAGAGTGGTCTACTCCCTCAACATTCTCCATAGCTATCCCTTGCAGAACCCTTAACGTGTGTCAGACAACATCCACAGCAGATCATCTAAATGGAACTATTTTACTTAATCCTTAGTAATCTTGTAAAGGTAAGATTACCATCCCTTTAGAGAAGCGAAAACTGAGACAAAGAGTATCTTGCCCCAGGAAGACAGAGCTCCTAATCAGAAGAGCAAGAATTCCGGAAAACACAGCCTGACTCCAGATATACTCCCTTCCACCACTACGCAATTCTGCTTCAAAATATGTCCCCTAACCATTCGTTTCTCCCCATCTCTCCCGCCACCACTACGGTACACCCGGACTAGCGCAGTAATGTCCTCCACGGTTTCTGTTTCCACTCTACCCACCCTAAAACCCATTCTCTGAAGTCCTTCTCGCCATCCTCCAGTCACATGGTCTGCTTTCAGCTCCCGCCCAGTCTCTGCCCTTAAGCGGTAACTAATCCCTTCCGCTTCTGCAGGCTCTGCTTTTCCTTCGCAGACGCCGAGCAATCGGCTCAAGGCCTCCCTCCTACGAGACGCCTCACCACGCCCTATTAGCCAAAGTAGCTCTCGCTTTTCATTTTTAACGTTTTTATCTTTTGGTCTATCCACAAGGCCTGCACGACGGCGCCAGTTATTTCTGGCTTGAATGACTGAAGGGCCCTGGGCAAGTGGCGCCCCAGCCCCAACCGCCTCAGGCGACGCACCCCTTCCCTCAGCCGCCGCAGCGCCCCGGCGTACGCAGGCGGGAGGAGGAAGCGGGCCTCGGCTGCTAGAGGCAGCAGCGGGAAACGCTGGGCTAAGGGGGGGGCCCCCCCACAGGCGGCGCGGACAGCGCAGGCGCACCGCGGCGAGGCGAGCACGCAACCCGCAATCCGGGGACCCGCGGCCGGCTCTTCCCTTCCCCCACCCCCTGCCGCTGCCACCGCCCGCGCTTCGCAACAAAGCCGGCTACAGAGCCACGGTCCACGCCGCCTTCCCGCAACCCCGCCGCCCCACACGGTGCCCAAGATGTCTCTACCTTACCAGCTTCCGTTTCCTAGTGCTCAGTTGTTAGAACCGTGCGTGGCTCTGGCCTTCCACGGAGACAACAGAGAAACGCACAGCAACTTGCATGAAGGAATCGGCGAAATGGCTCCGACCGAGGCGCGAGGGGGCGGAGCCAGCGAATATACGCATGCGCAGAACGCGCGCCGGGATGGGGGATGGTGAGGGCGCGCCAATGGAGGGGGCGGGGCTCAGCCACCTCGCGGCGCGGAAGGGTTTCGTTGCCAGGGAGATGCACTGCGCCGGGCGGGCCGCGCGCCAGGCCTGCTACCCTGAATAATCCGCCACTCGCTTTTGCGCCTGTTAGGAGTTGAAGGCCTGTAGCATTCTGATGCAGCAAAATGTTTCGCAGGATCTGTCATAGGGATCTCTGGTGACAGGAGGTGCCCTTCGAAGGCAGAACTGGAAACCTTACTGCTAACTTGGTAGGGTTGAGGTATTTACATGAGATGGCATATGAAGGGGGCTTAGTTCAGTACCTGGCACGTGGTAGGTGTTCAGTAGGCGTGGTTACTGGAGTGATTCAGACAGTCTGAACGCCAACGTCTCTTGAAAGAAATAAACTGGTTGGGTGCGGTGGCTCACGCCTGTAATCCCAGCACTTTGGGTGGCCGAGGCGGGTGAATCACTTAAGGTCTGGAGTTCGAGACCAGCCTGGCCAACGTGGTAAAACCACGTCTTTACTAAAAGAATACAAAAATTAGCCGGGCGCCTGCAATCCCAGCTACTCCGGAGGCTGAGGCAAGAGAATCACTTGAAGTGGTGGAGGGGCAGAGGTTGCTGTGGGCTGAGATTGTGCCATTGCACTCCACCCTGGGCGAGAGATTGAGACTCCGTCTCAAAAACAGCCAGCCAGCCATGAAAGAAAAATCTCAGTGAAGGCGGGCATTACACCTGACTAACGCAGGTCACCACGCCCTGCCGTGCCTGGAACATTGTTAAGTGCTCAGCCAACCAGTTTAAGGTAGGAATAAAATCTTCAAGATTGCTTTTGTTTAAATTGGGTAACGTTTTGTGTTCCACGTCTTTGGAATAATTTGTATCCTTAATTATTATACTAGCCACTGTTAAATTTTGAACTCCAGTGCTTCCCATGAAGGCAAGGATACAAAACACTTGTGATTGCTGCAGGAAATCCAGACTAATCAATTATCTGGGCCCATTATATCTATGCATCTTTATTTTTCACCTCTTTTCTTATGCTTTTCTTAATCCTTCCAGTTCATATTGACCACTCCTTTTAAAACTGTCATCCTTAAAATCAGAACATAGTTTAGCATTTACTCATTCTTATATTTTCTTCATGTGATCTATTTAAGAATAAAATCATTGAAGGAAAGACCTTAATTTTTTAATATAATCATTGAAGGAAACCTTTTTTTTTTTTTTTTTTTTTTTGGTATCCTTCACGGTGTTGAAAGCAGCAGGGGCCTAGAAGACATTAAACTGATACCACAGAAATACAAAGGATCATTAGAGGCTGTTATGAACAACTTTATGCAAACAAACTGGCAACCAAATGGAAATGACTAAATTCCTGAACAGATACAACTTACCAAAATTGAACCAAGAAAAAACAGAAAACCTGAAAAGTCCAACTGAGTAATGAGATTGAATCAGTAATATAAAGTCTTTCATCAAAGAAAAGCCCAGGCCCTGACAGCTTCGCTGCTGAATTCTACCAAACATTTAAAGAAGAACTAATATCAGTTCTTCTCAAACTCATCCTATGAGGCCGGCATTACCCTGATACCCAAACTGGATATGGACACAAGAAAAAAAATCTATAGGCCAATATCCCTGATGAACATACATGCAAGAATCCTGAACAAGGCCAGGCACGGTGGCTCATGCCTATAATCCCAGCACTTTGGTAGGCCAAGGCAGGCAAATCACCTGACATCAGGAGTTTCAGACCAGCCTGGCCAACATGGCAAAACCCCATCTGTACTCAAAATAGAAAATTAGCCAGGAAAGGTGGCAGGTGCCTGTAATCCCATCTACTCAGGAGGCTGAGGCAGAATTGTTTGAACCTGGCAGGGTGGAGGTTGCAGTGAGCGCAGATCATCCCACTGCACTCCAGCCTGGGTGACAGAGACTCCATCTCAAAAAAAAAAAAAAAAAAAAAAAAAAAAAAAGGAGACTCAACTAGCATAAATGAATTGCAAGTGTTTTATCATATATAATGAGGACAAAATTATCAATATATTATATGTAAACGCATGTTTAAAGCTGGATCTTTAGCTTCCAAGGATTAAGGAGAATATTATTGAATTGGTTCTTTGTTGTGTTGTTGTTGGTAGGGAGATCCAAGATGGCCAAATAGGAACAGGTGAATGGTTCTTAATTTAGGCTTTGCATCTGAGATCTAGAGTCCCTGGGATTTGGGTCCCAGGACTGGCATTACCTTTGTAGGTGGCCCTTGGCAACTAGCACTCTCTAAGAACTTAACATTTGCAGGTGAAGCCTTAAAACATGTTCCAGAAGTTTGGAAAGTGGACAGATTTCAACACAACCATTACCTGTTCCCAGTAGCTGACCAACTAGATTTCAGAGGTTAGTCAAGTGGGACAGAGCAGGGTAGGGAATTTTATTTTTCAGTTTTATTATAAAACAGGTAACTTTCTCCCTATCTTAAGAATTTGGAACTGGGGCTATAGTTCACTCATAATGATTAAATAATGAAAGGTCTGCTTCAACTGGACTACTTAACATTTAACATTTACCTTTTTGACTAGAAATAACTGATGAAAGTTCACTGAGTTTGGTGGGAAATAAGAGATATAAAGATATCTTCTCCTCCAGGATGAGACTCCCAAAGGCAAATCTTCTCTGAGTACCAGCGTTGCTCAAATTTAGGACCTTTGGAGTTCCTTTGAGCATCATTCTTCTCTCCTATTTTTGATAACTCCATCTAGACTCCTACTCAACTTCTCTCCCTCCATGTGCATTCCAATTGCAAGTCACGCCCAGGTTCTTAGCACTCTATATACCCTCTACCTGGACAGTTTTATTCTCTTAAATTCTAACCACCACCCATAGCTGATATGGACTGAATATCTGTATCTCCCCCAGATTCATATGCTTAAGTCCCAATCTCTAATGTGCTGGTATTTGGAGATGGGGCTTTTAGGATATAATTGGGTTTAGATGAGGTCATGAGAGTAGAGCCCCCATGATGGGATTAATGCCCTTATAAGAAGAGGGTAAGACCAGAGCCTTCTCTCCTCTGACGTAATTACCCACATAAACCTTCACATACTGGCTGGGTGTGGTGGCTCACCCCTGTAATCCCAGTGCTTTGGGAGGCCAAGGCGGGCAGATCACCTGAGGATAGGAGTTTGAGACCAGCCTGGCGGGTGCCTGTAATCCCAGCTACTCGGGAGGCTAAGGCAGGAGAATCACTTGAACCTGGGAGGTGGAGGTTACAGTGAGCCAGATCCCATCACTGTGCTCCAGCCTAGGGCACAAAGCAAGACTCCATCTCAAAAAAAAAAAAAAGGACACTCAACTGGCATAAATGAATTGCAAGTGTTTTTTATAAGGAGCACAACAAAAGTGTCAATATTTATAAATATGTTTCAAAGCTGGAACTTTAGCTTCTAAGGATTAGGAGAATTTTATTAAGTTATGTGGGAAGTAGAAAAGTTCCTTGTTAAAGTTTCCTTTCTTGTTAAAGAATAAGTGTGCTAATAACTTTGTTAAGCCCTATCCTATGTAGCTATTAGGCCAGTTTTACAGGCACATAGTATACTCTATGTCCTTGTACTTTAACCGAGATATCTGTGCTGGACATGCTCACAGGCATGTCCCAGCTCTCCATTGCTTTTACTTGTTTAGAAAAGTTTTAAGTTGGTAGCCAATCGGGCTTCAGTTTAAATTATGAGGTCTGGCTCCAGCCAATGGAGATTAGACATAGCAGTAAAGATGACCCCAAAAGCTTAAGGGATACATTTGTCCATTTTCCTTTGTTCATTGTACTCTCGTGGCATGATGGCTAGCAAGGGTACCTTGCCTGCTGTCCAGGAAGTAAAAAGTGCATTGCTGAAAGATCCTTTGTTTCAGTGCTAATTTTCTTTGTGGCACCGAACATCTATTTCCAACAAGGTGGTTCTTAATTTAAGCTTTGCTTCTGAGACCTAGAGCCCCCTGGGATTTGGGTCCCAAGACGACTGGCATTAACTTTGTAGATGGCCCTTTGGCAACTAGCTCTCTCTAGGATCTTTTTTTTTTTTTTTTTTTTTTTTGAGACTGAGTCTCACTCTGTCACCCAAGCTGGAGTGCAATGGCGTGGTCTCGGCACACTGAGGCCTCTGCCTCCTGGGTTCAAGCGATTCTCCTGCCTCGGCCTCTGGAATAGCTAGGATTACAGGCACCCGCCATTACACCCAGATAATTTTTGTATTTTTAGTAGAGACGGTGTTTTACCATGTTGGCAAGACTGGTCTCAAATTCCTGACCTTGTGGTCTGCCTACCTCAGCCTCCCAGAGTGCTGGGATTACAGGCCTGAGCCACTGTGCCCGATCATCTAAGATCTCAACATTTGCAGAAGAAGCCTCACAACATGTTCCAAAACTATGGAAAGTGGACAGATTTCAGCACAACCATTACTTGTTCCCAGTAGCTGACCAACTAGGAGATTTCAGAGGTTAGTCAAGTGGGACAGAGCAGGGTAGGGAATTTTATTTTTAAGCTTTATTATAAAACATGTAACTTTCTCTCTATCTTAATAATTTGAAACTGGGGCTATAGGTCACTCATAATGATTAAATAATGAAAGGTCTGCTTCAACTGGACTACTTAACATTTAACATTTACCTTTTTGACTAGAAATAACTGATGAAAGTTCACTGAGTTTGGTGGGAAATAAGAGATATAAAGATATCTTCTCCTCCAGGATGAGACTCCCAAAGGCAAATCTTCTCTGAGTACCAGTGTTGCTCAAATTTAGGACCTTTGGAGTTCCTTTGAGCATCGTTCTTCTCTCCTATTTCTGATGACTCCATGTAGACCCCTACTCAACTTCTCTTCCTCCATGTGCATTCCAATTGCAAGTCACGCCCAGGTTCTTAGCACTCTATATACCCTCTACCCGGACGGTT